TACGTCCTATCATTTCTATCATATATTGTACAAGACAGAGTTCAGGTGAACTTAGGTAAAGCTAACACACTGTTAGCATATGTAATTGTATATGTGTGTGTGTATGCATGTGTGTGTGCGTGTGTGCATCTTTGCAGGTTGATAGCTAGGTGTTACCCAGCAGTGAGATCCTCTGTCATCGCTGTCCAAACACCTCCTCCCTCTGCAGCTGAAACACTCTGTCTTTCTCTCTGGAGTCTCTTCAGCTCTCTCTTTGGGGGTTCATTGACTCTCTGCTTGTCTCTACTGCTGAATCTCACACTTTTGACGCACAGGACTATCACTCTTTTTCAATCCGCTCACTCTATCTCACACTTACTCTCTCTTAAGGGATACCTCGTCTCCCTCTTCCCAGTCTGTATTTCATTAGGGAGCGTCTAGTTTAAGATAAATCTCCCTTGTAATACCCTGTGTTTGTAGCCTATATTCCCAGTTTATTTGAATTAATTTGGATTTTAGGGCAATAGAGATATAGAGCTTGTTTCTTTAAGCCTAATTAAGGGCCATGACCTTTTTTTCTTTTTCTTTTTTTTTTAGTGGAGAGTTTTTCTTTTTTCTTTTTGTATGCTACTAAGTGTAATCCATGTCTGAGAAAACGTACTAATTGTGTATGGTTATTAGCATTTAAACAAATTCAGAGACAGAAATATATCAGTTAGCATTAGCAAACAATGCCAAAATGCCAACGTGCCACAGGCTTCACTGAGGAACTAGTTAAATCACTTTCTAATCCCAATCTTGACTAAAGAATAAATCTAACGTCAAAGACAACAGCCTAGTTTAGGTATATACAATGGACCCTACTGTTGGTGGTCCATTCAGGTGCTATTCTTTTATTATTTTGAGTATTGGATGTAACTTTATCTTCAAAATTGTTTTCTTTGCATTCACCTACTAAAGATTTTACTAACAGCCTTGAGTATTAAAATATTCTGATTGTCAATCGTAAATTAATATTGTGGCATCAAAGCTTTGTTTAACTGGTGCCTTTTTTCATGAAAGATTTAAGCAAAAGTTGTGATACTAATTAAAAAGATCATAATGGTTGTGTATAACATGGTTACACAGCCTTCTGCTCCTCACGTTTGCTTCCTCTCCTTCAACTTAACTCTCAGGGATTTGTCACCCATAGCTGTTCCTCTGTGTCTTCTCGCAATCTTCCTTGCACTTCGCTTTCCACTTCATCCATCCATCACCATCACAACCACCAGCATACTCTCTGCTCCCTCTACTGGCCACATCAATACACTGTGGGCAGGTTCATCCCTTGACAGTGGCGACTGCATCCTCAGTGTTAGAATTGTCTTCAAAAGCGGTAGATGCCGTCTCACATGAATGAATTTTGGAGCTCTAGATTCACCTTAAATTGATTGTCACAGGAGAAAAAAAAGTGGGACGAAAATAAACAGAGGGCGAAAGGCAAGGCAATAAATGACAGACACAGAGAGACCGAACAGCAGAAAAGTCAGATTAATGATATGAAAACAGACCCTTTGTTCTCTTACCTCATCCATTTGTTTATCCAGGCATGAACCCAACTGCCCAGAAAAATGTCCCCTAAGCTTTAATGCTCCAAGTGAGTAAGCAGTAGTTTGTGCAGGCCAAAAAAGAAAACGATAGGATCATAAAACCAACAGAAAGTCATCCACAATAGATTAAATCATGAAAAACAGAGCTTCCAACAAACCTATTCAGTGGATGTGGTGTATGTCAGGTTTACAGTGTTATATAATACCATGCTGTGGGAAAGTGTATGAGAAAAATGAATTAAGCAAGGCAGAAAAAAGGGCTAACGGAAGTTCAGTTTACACTGATTAAAATTATCTGGTTTAAATTCATTTAGGTTACTATTAAACTACCTAACTATCTCAGTCTAGACTCCCTTAAACAAGCTGCTCTGAGCTGTTCGTTTTCACTAGAACCTCCTCGTGATGTTCTCATCGAGAACATTTGTTCATTTATCTTTGACAAGATCTGTTTTGTCCATGAAACTCATTGATAATGTTTAAGTATGCTTTAAAAGTAGATGTTAACTTATTAAACTGCCACTAGCAGCAGCCATGCAGCTAAAACAATTGTTCTGATCACCTGCAGTTAAACATCGGCTCAAGCCACCAGTAAACGTCATGCTGTTTCACTTGCTTCATGTCCTGAGTGCTCTCATGAACGCGGTGATTGAAGACCGAAGCCGTCTGCTTATTTTGCTGAGGTCAGGTATTTTCAAATCTGCAGCATTGCCTTTAGCTGTGGCAGTTAAAAAGCCATTGAGAGAATGAGGGGATTGGCTGCTGTTCCTGTGTCTGTTAATAAATGACCTCTTACTGGAATTAGCAACCAACCTGTGGAGAAGTGGGGGAGGGAGTGAGATTAAGAAGGTAGTGGCTGGAACAGGAAAAGCAATGGATGGCAGGGTGGTAGATGCCAACATTTAACAAGTTTTAAATTTGATTTGTGCAGCCCTTTTGTCATTGTTTCAGTCCACTTCCTGTTTCTTAGAAAGGGTGGTACGACTGACTGCTAAATGCTACTCCTATTATTAAATCTCATGCCTTTCTCACACATGGTTAAAAAAATACAATACTGCTTTTTTTTTTTTTAATTTAGGGCATCATTTATAAGGCACATAAAGAAGCACCTCCATTTCCACATAGTACTGATAGGTGGGGTTAGGTTTGCGTGTGATTTGCAAAAGTTGTGCTGTTCTAACGATAGGCACAATCTGTTCATTTCAACATGGCATGCATAGTCTTCCAAGAGTCGTGCAGTTAAGCACAATTAGGCAAACTGAGAGATGGTATTCAGCTGCAAGTCATTTTCTAACAGGACAGGCGCCGCTCGGTAATTGTAATCAGAAAACCATATAAATGTGTATGCTAAATGGCAGACAGAGTCATAAAAATAGAAACAGGGTTCAGTAACTGACAGGTGCCCAAAGTAGGACTGTGAACTGTGCGACAGTATTATGACATCACGCTCTGTTCTTGTATTAAGACAACTTACATCTCGTCCATCTTCAGAACAAACCTTAAAGGTTCATTTCTATACTCTCAGACTGGTTGTGTTAACAGTGCCACCACAACTTTACTATGGTGGGTTTGTTTAGGGAAAAAAATAAGTAAATTAAATTTAAAAAAATATGCAGTTTTTTTTTGTATCTGTGATCTGTATCTCACGTTTTGAATTTGTGTAGGTCAACCACTACAAACAGCCATGTATTAGAGCAGCGGTCCCCAACCCCCGGGCCTCGGACCGGTACCGGTCTGTGAGTCATTTGGTACCGGGCCGCGAGAGTTGAGGCTCAGGTGTGAAATGTATAGTTTTCAGGGTTTTTATTGGTTTTCAGCGTTATTTTGTTATTGTTTTTATCGTTTACTCGGTTTTCCTGGGTCTTTTCACGTGTGTTATGAATAAATTTTCTTTTTTTCGGTACCGGCATTAGTTTTATTTTGTTGTATTTTTCCGCGACACCTTAAAGGCCGGTCCATGAAAATATTGTCGGGCATAAACCGGTCCGTGGCGCAAAAAAGGTTGGGGACCGCTGTATTAGAGCACAGCTCGTGAGATCACAGTGAAAACCGTATGAGCTGTCCATGGTCCTGAAATGATAACAGTTTCCTTTAAATGTAATCTTTAAAAATGTAAAGTTATTAACGTATATGCATTGATCAGATGATTAAATGAAAAACATAGGCCGCTATTAGGAATTCACGTGCTGATGTTCATGTATGGCCTGATTATTTTCAGGATAAGGTCCGATTTCATCATCATGATCCCCCGTTCTCTCTTTTCTTCTGTGATTTCATTCTGAATGTCTTTGCATAGGCTGTGAAATCATGGCCCATATATGAAATAACGCAAACATTAGTGAATCAGTTTGTGACAAATACAAGAGGGTCAGAACCACCAAACCCACCAACCACAGTTTGTGTTAGCAAATCCGGTCCACAGTGTCATGTATTATGGTGCTATAGGAAAGCTTGCTTACAACTACGGGCCATGTAAAAGCTGACTTATGAGAAAGCAGCTAATAAATGAGTCCAGATATGAATTATGAGTTTTTTTCAGTGGTCAAAGGATAGTCATACAAATGCACAGAAATGCCAGCTAGTGAATGAGAATGATGCTGAGGCTGTGCGACAGCTGGGCTTCTCTTTCTTGTCATTGGTAGCTAATGTGTGGACAGTTACAGTAAGCAAATCATTTCAAAGTATCCTTGTTTGAACTAACTGAGCTTTAAAGAAGAAAGGGAAACTTTTTAGCATCAGATGTCTGCCGATGCAGTGCGCTCCTTCCCTCTATCTCACTCCTCTTCCTCAGTACATCCCCTGTCTACGCCCCCACACTTCCTCCCTCCCCCTCCTATAGGACCTACCCTGCCTTCCGCCTACGTTCAAGACAGGTTGGAAAATTCCATGCTCCTTCTCCAGCTGACTTTGTGCCAGAGCGCTCTCTCTCTCTCACACACACACCTACACATTAAAGACACACAGAGCAGTCAGAACAGATACAGAATGTGTCAGCAGTTTCCAACAGCAAACATATTGTTACTGAAGTAACACATCGCACACATAGATACTGGTTTAAGGTGAACATATAGTTGTCTTTATGTTTTCTGATTGTTATCTTTGCTTTCAACTGAGACGTTTTCTGTTATTTAGCCCTTAGCCTAGCATTGATGGGTAAAACAGTTGAAGTACCTTGTCAGTATAGCACAACAGAGCACAACAACACATCGTAACTGCATCTTTAAATTTCACTACAAAGCTGAATCAACACCTCTGTGAATATTCAGAATGCAAAATGGGTTTTGAGACCTGCACAAAGAGAGGATTCATTGAAGGACAGCTGCCTTGAGCAGAACTGGTTTAAGCTAGGCGTACCTAATAAAGTGGTGAGAGTGTAAATGATAGTGTTGACTGCTTTCAGAGACGATCTCATGTATTTTGTTTCTTTCTCTGTAGTATTTTGTCGTCAGTGGGGTCCACGTTTGACCTGAGGACACTGCGAGCCGTCAGGGTGCTGCGACCCTTAAAACTGGTGTCTGGAATTCCAAGTAAGTGTTTTTGTTTCTATGCTAATTTCAGATCCTTCCATACAAACCATGTCACATTCAAGTCCAATGAATAAAATCTGAACAAATCTGAATTTTACTGCAAGTTGCAATTTTTTTGATATTCTGTATATTCTTTGTCATTACAACGTGGTTGCCAATCGAGGAGCTACTAGACAAGCTAACCTCACTGCTCTTAATTTACTGACTGACATTTAACAACATCGACCTTACATTTATCACTTAGTAGCATACTGTCTACTTTATTTTTGATTTGTTCTAAAAAGCACCCAAGCTATTCCATGTCTATTATTTATTTGCGTGTCTTGCACTGAATCCTCCAGGCCTGCAGGTGGTGCTCAAGTCCATTATGAAGGCTATGATCCCCCTGCTGCAGATTGGTCTCCTCTTATTTGTGGCCATCCTCATGTTTGCAATCATCGGCCTGGAGTTTTACATGGGACAGTTCCACAAGACTTGCTATGATGATGTTACAAGTAAGTAGAAAGTGGTAAAAAACAATGTGTGGTGAGCCTTTGTGACTTGTTCTAACAGAAAGGGTGGTGGCCCCATCCCATTTCAGGTGTACCATAGGGCTTCTTTTCATTAAGAAAATAACAAATAAATAATAAAATGAATGATGGAGGCTTTGGTTTTTTGGGTCCTGGTTTTTTTATGCTATCCTTGTGGCTTGTTTTAATAGTTCATAGACTCAAAATACATGAGTGTGTGTGTGTGTGTAACTCACTGAAAAAAGTGTGTTACTTTGTCAGAATTTGTTAGCCTCTTGAACAGGTGAACACAGCCAGTCACTACATTCTTTTTCTTTCTGACACCCAAAATGGTTATTTAGTTATTTTATAGTGAAGCTGTATCTTTCTCTCTGTGATCAGATGAGACTGCAGATGACAGGCCGTGTGGTACTGCATCGCCATCCCGGCTGTGCTCCAATGGCACGCACTGTGGGGAAGAGTGGATTGGACCCAACTACGGGATCACCCAGTTCGACAACATTCTGTTCGCCGTGCTCACCGTCTTCCAGTGCATCACCATGGAGGGATGGACAAACATGCTGTACCACGTATGTCTGACTAGCCACCCGAGACCCTTTTTCTTTTAGCTGAACATCAGGCGATTGGGGAGAACCATCATGCTTTCACTGTGGAAAGCAGTTACCTGTACCCATTGGTTTGTGTATTGCACCAACACCAATATTTACTAATTAGTGATACCAAACATAAAATCCTCTAGGCATAATGAAAATTTGCTGAAATGTGACCATTGACTAAACCATGTTATTTGTCAGATAAATGCATTAAAAAGGCTCCAAAGTATTAACATAGAAGCCGATAGAGACTGACTCACTTTTAAGCCTCTGGTCATTCAAGGAACTGCAGTTTGAGGTTTAAATTTGGTGAAAGCAGTAAAGTGATTTTTACTCTTATTTGTATTTAAGCACACGGGACTTGCTACATTGGTTGGAGGTTAGAGTTGAGCTGAATTTCAATTATCCAAACGAAGCGTAAAGTATTTAAAGATCTGATTCAAAATGCCATTTATTTGCCCAAAAGACATATCCCGTATACTCTGTCATTATCTCTTTGACTTCCTTTATCCATCATCTGTCCTTTTCCTGCTTTTGGAGCTGCTCTCTTTTTCTTCTCCTCCGCTCACTATTCTGGTCCGTCTTGCTCTATATTTAACATCTTTTCTGATGGATGGAGGCTGACTTCCACTCTCACACGAGCAGTTGGGAGGAAACCAATGAAAATTTAATAGAGGATGGACTGAGCATTGTAGCAGCAGTACAAAATCCAGTGCATAGATGCAGCCCTCCAACAGTGGATTATAATCATAGTTTATTAGCTCATAGTTTATCAAAAAGAAATACGATATCCTCTTATTGTTAGTTGAGTGAAAGAAGTAAGTCACACAGTATCTGAGGATTACAGGGAGACCCAAAAACCTTTGGACATACTTTCTAAATGTTTTGTAGTTTTGCCGTACACCACCCACAGTGGATTTTAAATTAAACAGTCAGCATGTGAGTAAAGTGTTGGCTTTCATTTTAGAAAAAAGAATGAAAATAAAAAGTACTCTTTAGGTATGAAGACATTTTCTATACAGTCCTCTGTTTTCAGAGGTTCAAAGGTAATGGGACAAGCAAACATTTTTAAAATATTAGTATAGTTTATAATACTCGGAGGACAATCGTTTTCACTTTACTTTCAATTGCTGCTTGTTTGTGGCTCTCGCTGCCTTCAGTTTTGACTTTAGTAACTGAAAAGCAAACGTTGTTGCAGTGATGCCCAAACTGTGGTGTTGAGCACTGAAGGTAGTTCAGGTACAATTTTTCTGTATGAATTTATTCATTTATATGAAAAGTGAATTATAGCTGGTAATAGGAGGGGGTTAGTTTGAGATGTTACTTTGACCTACATTTACTGTTCTTGCATCAAAGTTTTGGTAATAACACTTTGCATAAGACTGGGTTGCATTAGCAATTTATAGACAACAGCCTGTGTTGTTTAGGTTTCTTGAATAAAAATTTTAAGGAAGTTCATCACTTCTTCTTGTAATTTGATTAGAGTGAAGGTTTAAGATTGGGATGTTTTAAATGGGCCACAGCACTCTTGACTGCTGTGTTAGGTTCTATCTATGAGGTACATCTAATCTATTAGATCAGATTGGGGTCAGATCAGTGATTTAACTACTGAAGAATACCCCTTTCTTTGCCTTGAGAAGCTTTAGGGTTGGTTTAGAAGTGGTCATTATCCATCTGTGTGTTTTGCAGCATCTGACTGAGTTTAAGCAAAGAGTTTAGCCTCAAATATTTCAAAATTCAATGTGCTACTTGTATGAGCAGTCACACTGGCGTTGTGGTTACATAAATGCCCACGCCACCATGTTTGACAGATGATGTGGTGCACTTCTTCTCATCATTCTGGTACACATTAACCTTGATCTCATCTCTCCGAAGCATTCCCCAAAAATGAACAAAGGAATCAAATCTGACAGTTGTGAGCTAGAGTGACTAAAGTGTTGAAAGGCTTATTAGAACAAACGTAGTTGACATTCTCTGCAGAAGAAAAGCAAAGGAAAGTTAAACCAAAAGTGCATGACCGATGTGTGGCCGTGTGTTTCTTGCAGAGTAACGATGTAAGTGGCAGTTACTTTAATTGGATGTACTACGTCCCCCTCATCATCATCGGCTCCTTCTTCATGCTCAACCTGGTGCTGGGTGTACTCTCAGGGTAAAAGCCTGCCATTTGTCTTACAAAAACAATTGAGCTTTGGTTTTTTTTCCCACAATAATTTATGTTTTGCACTTTCGTTCCATGAATAGTAAAAAAAAAAAATGACAAATGTTCCCACAGTGAATTTGCCAAAGAGAGGGAGCGAGTGGAGAACAGGAGCGAATTCCTCAAGCTGAGGAGACAGCAGCAGATTGAGAGGGAGCTCAACGGATACCTTGAGTGGATCTGTAAAGCAGGTCAGTGCGCACTCGCATTCACACCAGTGCTGACACATGCTGCTCAAGCTCCTACTAGAGAATTAAGAAAAACACACACACACAACCAAATCCTGATATAATGCTCGAAAATCTCATTTCATTAAATTCTACAGAGGAGGTGATTCTGGCTGAGGAAGATGCTACAGGGAACTTTGATGGTAACTAAACTTCATTTGCTGTGTTAATGTTTTTATATGACAATGAGAAAGCCACTGCCCATAGAGTATAAATAAAGGTACATCAAATAAAAGTCTAGTACAATTTTTTTTTATCTTAAATGCTTTAGCGGTTTTTAGAGCTGCTCATTTAAATGTGCAAATAAATGTGGGATTTAGCGCGGTACAGCAGCAAGTGACAGATTCTGTGGGAAGGGTGAGAGAGTGACATCTGAGAGACAGACTGAAGACGAGACAATTCGTTTCTCTCTCTCTAGGTTCGAGGCGTAGGCCAACCATCAAAACCAAAAACAACAAGACAGAGCTGCTGAACCCTGAGGAAGGAGAGGACAAAATTGGAGATGCAGTAGGTAAGACAAACACAGGGATGACACGCAAAGGACGAATAAGGACCAAGAACAGAGTCGTGTTTTGAATTCTACACTATCTTTATCATTGTAAAGATAGAGGAAACTGAACTGGAGATATAAATCTGTTAAATCTTAAATATAGACTCTTATGTCTCCCTTATATCCCCTTCGTCCCCGTTTTCTCCTTCTTCTTCTTAGGTTTTGCACGCTCCAGCATAAAGAGCGGTAAGGAGGGCTCCAATTACAGCAAGAATGAGCGACGGATGCGATTCTTCATCCGTAAGATGGTGAAGACGCAGGCTTTCTACTGGATAGTGCTCTTTCTGGTGGGCCTCAACACCATCTGTGTGGCCGTGGTGCACTACGACCAGCCTGAGATGCTCACTGACTTTCTCTGTGAGTAAAAGCCAGAGACTGTACAGAAAAGATGGATGCACTGTGATGACAAACACTTGTTTGTGGACCCCAATTTTTAAGTGTTGATACTAGATGCCCTCTGTATAAAGGTACATTCATGGATTCTATAGACACATCACACACACACAGGTGGCTGCTAATTACTGCTAGCATTTTAATAAATTAACACAGGAATTTTCCTCACTAGTTCAGTTCGCCTTTATATTTTGCTAGAGACAGATTTTCTGATAATTTTTTAAAGTGCTCTTGAGAAATAATTCAATGTTTTTCTTTGGACATTGGCTGCTTTTTCTCTTTGTTTTCAGTCTAGTGCTTTTCAAGTGACCATTTTCATGTTTTTCTGTTTGTTGAGCACCTAAGTCAAATAAACATAAGGTATGTGTTTCAAATAACCCATACCTTAGCAAAGAGCTCATTTTAAATTGTATCTGAAAGCACGTTTTTACTAGCAGCCTGTCGCAAAAATACATAATTTGTTCCCATTTCTTTAATATATGACAAAATGTCAAAGATAACAAAGTTTAACTGGCATAAAGTAGTATTTTTGTACATAAAATAGTATTTTTGTACCAACAAGGTGATTCCCAATGAGCTATTAGTTTACAACTTGGGGTATCTCGGCATGGTGTGCAGTGTCCTTGAAAAATATGAGGAAATCGGATGAAAGTAATTCAATTTATTTATTTATTTATATAGCGCCAAATCACAACAAAAGTCGCCTCAAGGCGCAAGTAGAAGTGCTTGACGTAAAAAAAACCTCATCTATGGTAAATGAATAGTATCTGAAAGTTGTGGGAAAAGTCCAGCAAAGACTTGACACAGGACCTAAGAGAGGCCCTTAAGCTGATCCATCCATTGTTTGAGGAAGTGTAATCAGAAATGGTCTCAGCGGAAGGCTGTCCATCAAGACGCCATTCTTAAGGAAGAGAAACGGGAACAGAAGGCTCAGGTATCATCATCGTTGTCATCTTTATTTATAAAGCACTTTAAAACAACCACAGCTGACCCAAAACGCTGTACATTGGAACTGAATAATAATAATTAGGTAAACCTAATTACACAAGAACTGGATTGAATATCAGGGCCAACAGTTCTGTGATGAATCAAACTCTTTAGCTGAAATCACGATCAGTATGTTCAGAGGTCAGGTGTTGACTTTCAAGCTCAAGTCTGTTTTTGGTTTATATACCCAGGTTTATGTTTGCATATGCTTCAATAGATTACTGCACATATTTCCCATGTCCCTAGTAAAATACAAACAAAAGGTGGCTCAAAACTTTTGCTCAACATAGAATGTACTCTATTTTTTCACATGTTAAATGCCTTTATGCTGTGAGTCATGGAACTTAAAAAGAAAATACTACCCCAGCTCTTTATCACGTGTTATTGTGTGAGCAGCATGTTAAATGCTAATGATTAAGAATTGTTACGATTAAAAACAGGAGAAATTAAAACCAGTGATTACTTCAGTATTTATACACTACTTTATATACTAATGCTGCATGTTTTATTTAGGTCACAGGAATGTCTGTTTGGCACTGATGTGCATTAACAGTACACCATGTGCAGGGATGCAAAATGCAACACTAAGGCAAACATCTGACACTACGTGTGATGTGCTTCGCTGTTTCCAGTTTAATCTCCACCGCTGCCCACTCTCACCTCGTCCCAACCTGAGTCATCTTTTTTACACTTCAGATCTACCGTTTCCTCCTACACATGCAAACAAGCCTTTACAAATTTAACTACACCAAACAGCAGAAACAGAGTGTGTTCTCTATTTCTCGAGCGTTATCCCCATTCTGTAGTTACACGTATCCTTGATCTGCACTATCATGCTCAGAAGAGTTTTGTTTGCTGAGTTCCACTTGACACACGTTGTGTAACTCTTTAGTTTTAGTTGCTGGCTTGCTGCTGCTGATGTGACCACACATAAATACTTACTACTACATGTGTACACACAGGCCGTGATGGAGTCAGCTTGTTGTCCCTGGCTGGTGTCCAGCTGCATTAGCATACAAAGTTGTCGTTGCTGATGAAGTCCCTTCATCACCACAATCTCATACAACACTTGCTAGTGGCTCGCACCTCTATTATCATTCACTCAACTGAGTCTTTCTCTCACTCTGTCATCCTCCCATCTGGTTGTCACTACTACCTTCTACATCTTTTTACCTGATTTTGATTTTTGTCTTTTTATCTCATTTTGGTTTTTCTCTCCGTGGCCTCACTTTCTTTCGTTTTCGCCTTCCTTTCTCCACATCCTTATGTCGCCCTCTTGTTCTAACTCACATTCCTCGCCTTCTGTTTCTAACAAAATCCCTTCTCTTTGCTTCATCCGTGCCCCAAATCATTCTTTTCTCCTTTGTTCTCTCTCCAGTCTATGCAGAGTTTGTCTTCCTCGGTTTGTTCATGTCTGAGATGCTGATCAAGATGTACGGTCTGGGCATCCAGCCCTACTTCCATTCCTCATTCAACTGCTTCGACTGTGTGGTGAGTGCACAAACTCACACACCAAAAAATGTACTGATTATAAAATCCATCACTGCATTTAATCTCTCACTGAATGTGTTAGTGTGGTGTCTGCTTCTGTAGTAAGTTTTGTTTTTATTGGGGTTTTTTCTTATCAGTTTATTTATTCCTCAGCAAATGTGATCAGAAGCAAAGACTCTAACTCCAACACAGAGACATTTCCATTTATTTATTTATTTTACAGGGGATCCATGTTTTTTTTGGAAAAAAAACCCACCCCAAAACATTATTGTTATTATTAAAACAGGATAATTTGGGCAATAAAATACTATATCTTATCTAAAAGATGCTTCTCGGATGAGAGGTGAAACGTCTTCAAGAAACTTAAAGAAATCCAGACGCTTTTCTTCCCAAGCTCCTTAGAGTACGATGACCTGGATGATTGGGAACCTTCACAGACACATACTGTATCTAAAGTGTTAAACCTTTATCATGTTAAAAAACTGAAATGTGCTGTTGAAATTCCACTTTTTTGTTTTAAATTAAGCCATCTCAGGGATTAAATGTTTAGTGATAGGTATGTTTTCTCTGTTTTGTGATCATTCAAAAACTAAAAGTGCAAAATGTGCCTGCTCAAATTTCTTTTAAAGTTATAACCTATGACTCCTTTTTAGCTACAGTGTAATACTAGACTAATCTTCTTCTTATGACTTCTTCTTTATAAAAGTAATGTTTGCTGACAAAGCCGGTGGTCCCCTGGAAAGGACCCGACAATTCAAAGTAAAATAATAATAAAGAAAAATATGTATTTACCTCAGCTTCTTGGATAACTAAGCAGCATCCTAATATGTCTATGGTATAAACAAGGGTTCTTGTGACCTGGCAGAGGAAATAAATACAGAAAAATAAATACAAACTTAAACTTCTAATAGCTGCTGACTGTATTGAATTGTGTGTGCGTGCAGGTAATAGTCGGCAGTATCTTCGAGGTTGTGTGGGCCACCATAAAACCAGGCACGTCCTTCGGGATCAGCGTGTTACGAGCTCTGCGATTGCTCCGCATCTTTAAAGTCACAAAGTAAGTCTCTCTCGCTCTTCCTCTGACTTCTCTTAGACTTGCATGCTCTTCCATCAGTACACAAATGAGACGATGATGATAATGAAGCACATGATAAGAGGCCGAGCTTATGGTACTGGTACGATTGTAATGATCATAATCTATTTGGGACACCTGTTGGTTACTGGAGAAGCTCAGAGGTGGTAAAAACAGGAGGGTATACATGAAAAGGAGCAAAACAGCTCAGACACAATTTCATGTTAAAATATCAAATGAACAAAATAAAGGCTGAATTCGGCTTAAAAACATGTACCTGTTCAGAGTTTACGTAAATGGTTTCGATCCTCTTCTTTATCGCTGCCCTCTTTCCTTCCTCCTCTCTCTTTTCTTCTATTGCTTACTTTTTTTGTTGTCTCGTTTATCCTCATCATGTGTCCTTCTTCTTGCACATGTCCTCCTTTTCCTCAGGTACTGGGCACCACTTCGAAACCTGGTGGTTTCTCTGCTGAACTCCATGAAGTCCATTGTCAGCTTATTGTTCCTCCTCTTCCTCTTCATCGTGGTATTTGCCTTGTTGGGGATGCAGCTGTTTGGAGGACAGTCAGTATCACCACTAACTTAAAAAGAAGCTCAACTGCCAGTATTAAATTTGAGCATCTATTTTCTTACTGTACATTTTCCTTTCTTCTCCTTAGATTTAACTTTGACGACGGAACGCCTCCTACTAACTTTGACACGTTTGCTGCAGCAATCATGACAGTGTTTCAGGTGGGGAAGAAAGCTTTGTGCCTGGTTTCTCAGAGAACGAAGCAAATATTAAAATGAGAGTAACTCTGTTTTCCAGACACATTTCTACACTTCACATGACTGAATATTAACAAAGCCTATTGTTGTGCTGTCATCAGTCTTGTTCAGTTCTGACTGCAGGTCCAATGTTTCTGTGTTGTCTTGCAGT